GAACCATGGCACGGGAACCCGGATGCTGAGAGTTGCTCGATGCTCGAGGACAAAATTTGGCATATGACCCGTATCACCACAAGTATAACAAGTCCTCGGCTGCTGAGACTGCTGACCCTGATAACCTGAATGACCACCCCGAAAACTCTGGAGCGGCGGTGCACTGATAGGAGCTGGTGGTGCACTGTAGGACTACTGATCAGAATACTGCATATGAGAACAACGGCCACCTGAAGCACCGTGAGAAACCTGAAGTGCCGATTGAAAAGGCCTAGGAGGATGGCCTCTACCATACGAATCCCTGCCTCCAGACGAGGCGCCACTGAATCTGCCTGAATGACGAGGCCTCTTGTCAGACCCCTGACCACCTCCCTGTGATAAAACCATCTCAACTCTTCTGGCCACATTGGCCGCCTCCAGGAAGGAAATCTCACTTCCCGTCTCCTTAGCCATCTGGAGTCGAATAGGCTGGATAATTCCCTCAATGAACCTCCTCATTCTCTCTCTCTCTCAGTGGGAAGTATAAGTAGAGCATGACGGGCTAACTCGATAAACCTGGTCTCGTACTGAGTAACAGTCATGGAACCCTGCTGGAGGCGCTCAAACTGCCTCCGTTAGATCTCTCTCTGAGTAACGGGAAGAAACTTCTCCAAGAATAGCTGAGTAAACTGCACCCAAGTCAAAGCTGGTGATCCAGCTGGTCTAGCCAAACAGTAATCTCTCCACCAAGTCTTGGCGGATCCAGATAAGCGAAAAGTAGCAAAATCGACCCCATTGGTCTCCACTATCCCATGTTCCTGAGAACCTCGTGACAACTGTCTAGATAATCCTGGGGATCCTCAGAAGATGCGCCGCTGAAAGTGGCAGTGAAGAGCTTGGTGAACCTATCCAATCTCCACAAGGCATCGGCAGTCATAGTTGCTCTATCGCCTGTCTGGGCTACCACGTCCGGCTGAACTGCTCCAACTGGCTGAGCTGCTAGAGTCTGAAACTGGGGAGACACCTGCTCCGGAGTGCGAGTAGCAGGAGTCTGGGCCCCTCCTCCAGCCTGAGAGACGGCTGGTGCTACAGGAAGCAAGCCTGCCTGGGTGACACTCTCCATGAGACCCACTAGACGGACCAAAGCATCCTGAAGTACTGGGGTATCAATGAACCCCTCTGGGACCTGAGCTGGGCTCACCGGAGCTGTCTGGGCCGGAACCTCCTCGTCAAACTCAACATGAGGCTCTGCCACTGGTGCCGCTGCTCCGGGATGTCTGCCCCTACCTCGGCCTCTAGCACGGCCTCGGTCTCTCCCTCTTCCCCTCGTGGAAATTGCTGTTGGGGGCTCGGGCTGCTGATCAGCGGATGAGGAAGCGCGTGTTCTCGGCATCTGCAAAAGAACACAGTAGAAATTCAATTAGCATTGAGAAACCAAACCGCATGACACGAAAGAATAGATGTGAAGTTTTTCCTAACTGTGTAGCCTCTAGGGGATAAATACAGACGTCTCCGTACCGATCCCTTAGACTCTACGAAGCTTGTCTGTGAATTGTGAGACCTATGTAACCTAGAGCTCTGATACCAACTTGTCACGATCCGAATTTCCCACCATCGGGAGTGGTGATGGCGCCTACTAGTGAAAGCTAGGCAAGCCAATCAACTGAATTATTTGCCTTGTTTCCATTTTTGAATTCGTTAACAGTTATAAGCCAACAGTTAATAATCAACAAAATTTAACAAGCGGAAGATTTAATTTCAAGTTTAATAATACTATTAATACCATTCCATAACAAAACTACCCAAGATTGGTGTCACATTTGACAGGCTGTCTAAGAGTACTACAAATAATGGTCTGAAAGAAATAACAAAATATTGTCTCTGGGATTACATAAAAGAAACAGGAAAATAGATAGAGGGAGACGCCAAGGCCTGCGGACGCCTGCAGGACTACCTTGGGTCGCCTGATGAACAAGGAACGGAAAATCTCACTGCGGTCCGAAATCTGCAGCACTGGGATCTGCACAAAAGAGTGCAGAGTGTAGTATCAGCACAACCGACCCCATGTGCTAGTAAGTGTCTAGCCTAACCTCGGCGAAGTAGTGACGAGGCTAGGACTAGACTAACAAGTAAACCTGTGCCGATAAATAATGTACAGCGAAAATATGGAAGCAGAGATATACAGTCAAGGATGGGAGGGGGAAACATGCTGCGGGGAAATACCAAATGGCAACAGGAGGACAACAGTTAAATATATAGAACACCACAATTCAATTATCAACAAGAATCAGAAATCAAACAAGTGCATGACATCACCCTTCGTGCTTTTACTCTCATCCTCACCACAAAAATCAATATAAACTGCACGGCATCACCCTTCGTGCTTTTACTCTCATCCTCACCATAAAATCAATATAATCGGCACGGAATGGTACATCGTGCGGCATGGCATCCCCCTTCGTGCTTTACACTCTTCCTCACAAAATAATACACGGCATCACCCTTCGTGCTTTAACACTCTCTCACCAAAACAATGTACGCCATCACCCTTCGTGCTTTACATTCTTCCTCACCCAAACAACAAACACAAACAATAAGGGCAAGAAATAAATGAATCATAATAAAATCCCGGCAAGGGAACAATATTAAAAAAAAAAACAACGTCCCGGCAAGGGGTCAATACCATTATCTTTCTCTCGTTTTCACATTTACTTCACAACTTGGTTCACAATTTGAGCCAATGCTCTATAAGATTCAACTGCCAATTATACTTCCACAATTCACTTTACAACCTGAGCCAACGCTCTTCAATATACAAATGCTAATATTCTTTCCACAAACCTTGCTCAACAATAGCAACCACCACATTAAACATGAACACTACAAACGGAGTCACATTAATCACATCATAAGACTCACGGGCATGCTTGACACCAACGTATAGATACTCGTCACTATGCCTATACGCCGTACTCAACAAATAACACGTAGCAAATAGGACAGAACTCCTAATCCCTCAAGCTAAGGTTAGACCAAACACTTACCTCGATGCCTCGAACACAGTTCAAGCCTCAACTATCGCTTTACCTCTTGATTCCACCACCAATTCGCTCGTATCTAGCCACAAGTTACTTAATTATATCAATAAATGCTAAATAAATCAATTCTAATGCATGGAAATAAGTTTTCTAAAAATTTTTCCAAAAAGTCAAAAATCGACCCCGGTCCCACATGGTCAAAACCCAAGGTTCGAACCAAAACCCGACTACCCATTCACTTACGAACTCAAATATATAATTTGTTTTGAAATCGGACCTCAAATCGAGGTCCAAATCCCCAAAATTTAAAATACCTAGGTTCTACCCAAAACACCCAATTTCCCCCATGAAAATCATTGGTTTTGAGTTGAAATCATGTGAAAAGATGTTAAGGATTGAAGAAAACTAGTTAGAAACGATTTACAATTGATTTGGAGAAGAAGTTTTCTTTGGAAAATCGCCCAAGAGAGTGTATGTTTTGAGAAGATATGAAAAATGGCTGAAAATGCGTCTAAGTGTGGATTTACAGGTCTCTGATGTCGCAATTGCGATCAGGGTTCGCAATTGCGAACCCAGATTCTGCTGTTATCGCATTTGCGAAGCGACCCTCGTATTTGCGAAGTCGCTTTTGCGATAATTATGTCGCATTTGCGACGACTGGCCACAACAGGGGGCATTTGCGATGAATGCTTCGCATTTGCGAGGAAGTGCTGGCCTGGGCTGCGAAATAGCCTTCGCATTTGCGACATAGCCTTCGCATTTGCGAACTCGCATTTGCGAGCCAGGCTTCGCAAATGCGAAGGGCCTGCAACACACCAGTTCAAATCTGCAACACCCTAAGTCCAAATTTCACTCCGTGACCTATACAAAACTCGCCCGAGCCCTCGGGGCTCCAAACCAAACATGCACGCAAGTCCAAAAATATCATACGGACTCGTTCGTGCATTCAAATCACCAAAAATAACATCAACAACTATGAATTTAGCATCAAAATCATGAAATCACTTAAGAACATCAAATTTTTTCTAATTTTCTCAAATAAGGTCCGATTCACGTCATTTCAGGTCTGTTGCTTACCACACTTCATAGACTCAACTTAAATCGCATATAAGACCTGTACCGGGCTCCGGAACCAAGATACGGTCCCGATACCATCAAATTTCAAACACATTTCATTTTCAAAAACTCATGTATTTTTAAGAAAATAATTTTCTTTAAAAATTCATTCTCGGGCTAGGGACCTCGGAATTCGATTCGGGCATACGCCCAAGTCCCATATTTTCTTACGGACCTCCCGGGATCGTCGGAACACGGATCCGGGTCCGTTTGCTCAAAGTGTTGACCGAAGTCAACTTAAATTCATTTTAAAGGCAAAATTCATTATTTTTCACAGATTTTCATATAATGGCTTTCCGGCTACGCGCTCGGACTGCGCACGCAAATCGAGGTGAGGTAAAAAGGAGATTTCTAGGCCTCGGAACACTGAATTTGTTTCTAAAACAACTTTTTGGGTCATCACATCTAGCTAGAAGAGAAGTAGCTAGGATATAGGTGAGCCAGTGGCGAAGCTTCAGGCTTGAAAGAAGTAAAAAATATTCCCGACAAAGGGTGTTTAATATATGTTTTATACATATAAAATTAATATTATACTCATATACACAAGTGTTATTTTTTGTAATATATCGATGATTTGACCACCGCAAAAGGTGGCTTCGCCCCTGAGGTGAGCTTGAGGAATATTAATGTTGAAACAGAAGATTCCGTGTAGAAATATCTTGGCTCAGCCTTCACATGTCAGGTATATAAGTTAAATACTTTTCCTAATGGCCATTCTAATCAATCGTTTAGTATTTATAAAGTTTTTTGGTTAATATGTGTCGCTTCAAATTTTCGTGTAAATGTAAGTTTATTTATTAATATATGTGTCGCTTTAAATTTCGTGTGAATGTTCTTCAAATTTCGGTTGTATATGGTCTTCGACAGGCCAGCAAAACCGAGAAGAATCTCAAATTTCTCCTGCAAAAGGTGCTGAAGCAAAGCGATGTTGGCAGTCTAGGAAGAATTGTGTTGCCAAAGGTACTTTAGCTAATTGGTGATCTCTTTCCTTTTGGTAATTAAAAGTATGATTAAGTGGATTCTTGAAATGTTGTTTAAACGCAGAGAGAAGCAGAAACTCATCTTCCTCAACTTGAATCAAGAGATGGAATTTCAATCGCCATGGAAGACATTGGAACTTCTCGAGTTTGGAACATGAAATATAGGTATGTGAACTCAAAATATTCATCAAGCTATTTTTTATTACATTGCTCAATCGATTGTTACCCCTTATGTTTTATAGTCATCTTCCTTTTATACTTGTTGGCTTTGTGTTTTGTTTTCCAGATTTTGGCCAAATAACAAAAGCAAGATGTACCTTCTTGAGAACACAGGTAAACACAGTCGACGCTGCTCTAGCATTTCAGTAAAATACAAGTACTAATTTGTTTTAATTGTATCCTTTTCCATTCTACTAAAAGGCGACTTTGTTCGGGCTAATGGACTTCAAGAAGATGACTTCATTGTAATATACGCTGACATAAAGTGTGGCAAATATGTAAGTCATAATTTTATTATAGTGCTTTATGCTGTTATCACTTTAAGCACGTAATTATCTCGTCATTTGAGTTGAAATTGTTGAATGATATATCAGTTGATACGAGGAGTAAAAGTGAGACAGAATGGACCAAAATCAGAGGGCAAGAAACCAGCAAAGAAAAGCCATCGTGATTTGTCATCTACAGCTGCTTCTATTAGCTCTCCAGTTGCACAAGCAGTTAGATAGTTGATGGAGCACCAGTCAGTCTCACAGTCGGGCAGGCTTATACCATTATGCTCACGAGCAGAATCTTAGCTTGAGCCTATCTTCGGACCCTCACGTTGCGTTTATCAACAAGTGCGAAGTTGATGTTCATCTTCTTTACAAATTAGCACTAGTATAATTTTGTAAACTAGAGTTCTCTATTGATGACCCTGACTCGTCCAAAGAGCTCATCCATTGCCTTGATTCTGGATTTAGCCAAATGTTCTACACATGTTTAAGGGGTTCGTAGTTGTTAAGTCAGGGCTACACTATAATGTAGTGAATATATGTAAGTTGTAATCTGAGTGTGTTGTATGACCGTTTTCTGGGGTTTTAGGCAATGCGATGACCATCATTTGTAACAATCTTTATGTCAATATTATACTTACAGCTTAGTATTCTATTTTTCAAATCACTACTATATCAAGTTTAATATGGGATAATACACTATATGTTGTTGTAGGTTAGCTTAAATTGATAGTGTGAAATTTCTTATCACTGTCACCCTACTTTATATCACATTGTTTATCAAGCAAGCATGACCCCTTGGCTTTGCTCTACTTTTCAGTTTAATTTAGTGTACTAATGAGTGCAAACTCTTCTCAACAGGGTTGATTTACAAAATCCACAACTTAATTATGCCAGCAATGAATACAAGAGGACAGTGGATGGGAAGATTGTAATACCATCATAAATCATAAAAAGTCAACATGCAGAAATAGGAGAACAAAAGGGCTGCGAACAAATATGAATTTGAAGCAGAATTCATAGCAATTACATATATAAGGATAGCGATTACAACAATAACTTGAAGCTGAACATCTATAACAAGAAAACGACCTAAATATTGACTTCCATTTTTTTTCCTTGCACTTTCTTTTCACAATCTTTCTGATACTATGCATATCTGAAGAAAAAGACAAAATCTCAGCACCTGTTCCAGAGACGGTTGAATTATATTTCAAGTTGAGTCAGGGCGAGGTTGAGCACTCAGTACATAAAGATCACAAGTGGAAACAATGAACAAAAACTTCATGCTCAAGAGATGAGACGAATTTCAGATTTTAGTTTAATTGGTTCAAGATTCTGTGTTCTTTGAACATATAATTTCAGAACTTAATATTTATATTACTTTCAAGATTTTCACATATACATCTAAGTTTTAAGCTGAAAATGGTGGGCTGAATTGAACCCATCCACAATACTCTGGATCCGCCCCTACTCAAGGGTGAGTTGGGACGGACGTAAACAAGGAGAAGAAAGAGAAATTGGTGAAAATAGGCTACTTGATGAATTCAATGGACATGCAAAAGTAATGTGGTAGTGCTCTTCGATCAGCAGATGTGTCCAATGTGTTTTGACATCAACATTGGAAGCCAATGTGACAAGAAAGTGCACCAGCATTTGAGGTAATAGTTCCCACCATAGAAGAGGATTTAGCAGCTAAGCTTGAGGCTCTTGCATAACTGCGTGGAGCGGCACGTCCAGACGCAGTAAAGTATGCTCCATTCAGCATAAGGTCTCCCTCTGATCTCCAGTTCCAGTGCTTCCATGATCCTTCCCATGGTTCCACTCTTTTTGTCACCTGCATAAAGTTCAGTAATTTCGTAAGGTAAAGTTTGGCCCTCCTTATATTTTTCATTTTGAGATATTATAAGTAAAGGTTCATCAGTCCAAGTTAGTTTTGACTTTTGAGCTAATAACCTCTTTGGCAAAAGGGTTCACTGGGGCAAGGTATCTGTTGCCCTGGCTGTTAATTGTAGGATCAGCACTACCACCAATTGCATACATTTCCCAGTGTGTATAGTCATTGTTCACCACATGGAAATAACCATGCCTACATCTGCATATGAATTTAGGCTTTAGTCCAAGACGACTGGCAAAGATCAGTACAACAATAACAAGTACGCCTAAATTTCAAGTAAGTTGGAGTTCGTGATATGAATCCTTAGTGTCTATGTCACTTTATGTAAGGACATCTCAGTCCAATGTTATGGCAAAGATGAGTGCATTTACTAAATCAGATTAATTGAGAAAAAAGACTAATATTTTCACATTGATACCTTGGCATTCTCTGGATCAGGCCCTCACCAAAATGGTTGAAGGCAATAGTCACTTGCATAACCTTATCTCTGATATAGGAGTCGCTGTGCCCCAATAAAATCACCTGCACATAAGTTGGAGTTATGAGTAATTAGTCTTTGAACTAAAGTATCACTCATTACAGTGCAGTAAAAAGATTATGCTTGGGTAAAAATGGACCTCATTGTGATGTGTGAAGTAATTGTTTGAAATGGTAATTGCAGTTGAACCCATGATAGCATCAATGAGACCATCAGCACAATTAGAAAGAGAATTGTGGTCAATCCAAATATGACTCGAACCGAAAATGGAAATGCCATCACCATCAGCCATTGTTCTCCAACCATAGTGTGATGGTGAGTTTCGGACCATGGCATTACCAGTGGGTTTACAGTCATGAATATGAAGACCATGAATAATAATATTAGTAACAAATTGGATAGTAATACAAGCCCCATATGCAATTTGTACATTCACACCACGAGCATCAATTGTCTTGAAACTGTTCATCATAAGTTCTTGCTTAAGTGTGATGACCATATCATGTTTAAACACTATCCACAATGGTGCGTCTTGAATTACTGCATGACGAAGTGTTCCAGGTCTGGGATTTACTGGATCGTCATTACCTGAGTCAGTCACAACATAATACCTGCATGCATAGATTCAGTGTGTTCAGAATGAGTATGATCTAATTATATGTATACATTTTAATTTTTTTTTAACTGAAAGAACAGAGCCCGCCCTAAATTTGCTCTGAATATACCTGCCATCACGACCACCAATGGCATTGCGTCCAAAGCCAATAGAGCAGTCAGCTAAGCGTTTGCGGTTACGTACCCAATGGCGATCACAACGCCAACAATCATCTATGGGATTTCCTGTTGTACATGAGAAGTAGCCTAATTTCCTCCTCTCTGTGCTATTCCTAATGCTCCTGTATAACAATGCAGATTAGATATATTATTAAAGGCTAATCAACTCATCTGAACAATTTTACTGCACTATTGTTGTATGGGTCCAAATTTGGCAACCACGACCATTACAGAGGAGGACGAGGAACGAGGTTATCGTGATGTAACGTCTGATGGTCGCCGTGGTGAAAGGCAACGACACGTCCACGATAGTGTAAGCTTAGTAGGAGACAGTAAGAATATGCTTTTCGAATATTCTCTATGTTATACTTTTTAGGGTTTTTTGGGGGATTGTCCCTTATAAATAGGAAGAGTGAGCAAAGAAAGGGGGGACCGGACAAAAAAGACAAAAGAACACTTTGTAAAAGATTCATCTGAGAGTGAATACAAAAGCAGTCTTGTTCATTGATTGCACAACAAAAAGTTTATATCATTGCACGATAAAGAGAAGATCCAAAGATTACACGATCAACTCACATTTATTCCTTTTCTACGCCGATTGCATCTACTAAGATTGATTGTGCATTTAAGTCTTCATATTTATGAGCACTTATTTGATTCCAACATATTAGTTACATCATTCATCTTGCTTACTTCTTCCATCGCTTGATCTAGATTTTATTATGTTTGACTAAGATTGACCTCATCATTATCATTAATTGATTTAATCAAAACGGTTTTGATATCTTTTGGTCAAACAATTGTACCTAATATTATTAAAGATACCAAATAATCCATGCTTGAGCAGAACGCTAGTAGGTAGTCGAGGTCTTTCTTTTTCAGACATGTTGTATCTATATTATTCACGCATTTCTTTTTCTTAGATTTTTATTACTATCGGTTATTTCTTGTGCTTCGGTTATCTTACCATCTTGTTATTGTTCCTGCTTCTCTCCATTACCGTATTTCTTTTCATTACTGCTGTAATTATGATTGTCTTCAGGGGAGGATGTAGTATTCTAGTGACGAGTTCAATTAAACTCATAGCTTTCGACAAGGAGTATAAATTTATATGTAAGAATTACTATCATTGCAAAAAATAGTAGATATGAACCCATAACTTTGAAAAAATAATGGATTCAATTAAACCTTATACATTGAACCCATAAAGTTTAAATCTTTGATCTATTTCTACTTGTCTTGAGCTGAGGGTCTATTGGAAATAATCTCACTACCTTCACAAGGTCGGGTAAGGTATGCGTATACACTACCCTCCCTAAACCCTACTAGTGAAACTACACTGAGATTGTTATTGTATTATACGTAACAAATAATCCATGCGTCCAAGAAATTTGATAGTGGATCAGTATTTATCACGCAGTGAACAATTAATTTAGTAAGATATTTTGATTCTATTAAATTGTATTCGAAATTATGTTATTAGAAACAAACAAAACCAAGAAGATTCACGGGTGACTACTTTGATATAATAATATTTTTAAGGGAGAAAGCTGATCCACTCAAACATGCCTTTTAGTGTCAAGTTAATTAATGTAATGAGATCAACAGTAGTAGATAGAGGAATACGGTCAATACGGAACCAGTACTTCTCCATCATTCTAAGTATAAACATAACTAAATAAGAGAAAGTCCCAAATAAATGCAAAAGGTGGGCAGATAAATGCATTATGAATTTATGATGTGTCGGTAGGAGAAACTATTTATTGTTAGCAAAAAGTCATTTAATATATGGTGATGGGCTTGTCAGTACAGCCAGCTGAGGCATCCCTAAATTTGCCGGAATTGAGCCCCAGATCTGATCTCTTCTTAGTTCTTATGCCATTTGCCAGGCTGGGGCAGGGGGACAAGGACAGAGTGAAGAAAAAATTAATGAGGCCTACGATTAGTGGGGCATAAGAAGAAAGATTTTTGTGACTCTTCTCATGCATATGGTCCCAGGAGTGTGTATTTTATAAACTTCTATCACAACAATTATGTCTCAATCCAAATAAACTAGGATCAAATTTTAGGTATCCATCTTGAGGTCCCGTTTAATATTGATGCGGGCCGGATAAGACTCATTAAAGGGAGAATCACTCGCTATCAGGATTTTTCATTCTCATGGCTCAAACCCAAAATATCTGATTAAGCGTGAAGGATCCTATCTATCCCTATACAAGCTTTGGTGGTCGGGATCAATTAAGCCCGTCTTGATCCAATGTTATAAAGTTAAGCATTAGAAGTATATACTAGCATATAAATCACTAACATAAAACTTTTGGCGCACATGATATTCCATAAAGTGGTACTGTAATACTAGGGTAGACTAGGATTTAAGTAGGCATTAACACCATTTTACTTTATTTAACATAAGGAAAATATATTTTCAAGAACTAATGTACACTTCAAGGCTGCAACTCCCTGATATTTTTCTTGTACTATGGACGTGAACTTAGCCACGCTTTCAGCTCAAAATATATGTAGCTGAAAATTTTAATATACCTACATAAAGGGCATTTGCACCCTTTGTCACAAAAGAGTAGATGCAATTGCCTGCATCCACTAACTTAAATATTAAATTCATCCCTATTTTCAAATTAATGTTATATTATCACGAAACACTCTGTTTTGGTGTTTCCCTAAAGCTAATCTTTCTCGCTTAGCCAATGGAGGCATTAGTTGAGTCTCTAGCAAGAGGAAGCATTAGTATGAAACATTCCACTTTTAAAATTATAAGCCAACATTTAAAATTATGTGTGCATACACGCTCGGGTTAGAAAAATATTGAATTCAGATGAACCTATTAAATTTATTCTCTAGCCGCCTCTACTTTAGCCTGTAACTCGATGTAATGTAGCCAATGGCGCCAGGGACATACAAAAATAAGAGGCACTACATTTTATAAAACCATAATTAGGAGAGTAACATGATAAAGGATTAGCAAACCCAAAATAGAACAAACAATATAATGTGCACCGGCACGTAAAGCAACTTTCAGTTTCTACGAGAAACATGGATAACATGAAATGAAAGTGACACGGGATAATAATGCATTGATGCGCGAATCTTCCAACGGAGGCATGTGGAAGCCAAATGGATTAGGGAAGAGAATGCAACTTATGCTAACATGGCCTTTCTAATCATGATGATTAACAACCCAAAAAGGCATTTCGAGTTTTGGACCAATACATTGCTGACAACATTATCATACCAGATTGGATGTCTATCGTAGATTTTACTTAACACATAATCCGAAGCGATAAATTCAATACTCCCTCCGGTCCACAATAAGTGATCAATTTATTTTTTTATTTTGGTCCAAAATAAGTATCCATTTATATAATTAAGAAAGAAATCAATTTTTTTTACAAGATTACCCTTATGTACATATCCCTAAAAAGTTTTCGTATTCCTCACATTAAATATTTAATTAAGGGTAGTTTAGTCATACTAGATATTTTTGTATAGAATTTAGTATTTTCTTACTGGGCGTGCCAAAAGAAAATTGGTCACTTATTGTGGACCGGAGGGAGTAGTGATTAGTTTTTGTAAATTGATAACGATAAGGTCTCAAGTTTAAATTCGAGTTGAGGCCAAAAATAGTAAATGATTTTTTTCTATCTATCCAAGCCTTGATGAACAAAGTTGCATGGTACCTGGGTGGGAAAGAGATAGCAGGTACCCGTGAAATTAGTTGAGGTACGCACAAGTTGACCCGAATATCATGGTTATCAAAGAAAATTCACAAAATTGGTATTTTTAATTTAATAAATGATTAATTAATTAATCAATGATACGCTTATAAAAGCTGCCATAGAGAGAGCCTGTCACACTGCATGTGCTATATTCCTCAAGGCAGTCTCATGATAATCAGTCACTTCTTTTGACTGTCATCAACAAGGAAAAGAGAGAGGAGATGAATTTGGAAAGGGAATCGCAGCAGAACGGAAACACTGAGAATTGTATGGAAATGGTTTGTTAGGTGGGAAATGCTGCACATTAAATTAAAGAGAATTGTGACATTGCTTTTAATTTTGTGGGTGATATTGTACTACAGATCATGTGAGGGTTCTTCACTTCATCTCCCAGCACTTACTTTCTCACATTTTATGTGACATAAAAAACAATACTAATATCTTCTTCTTTCCGGAAACTATTTTATATTAAAATTTTCATTTTACCAATAATGAATAACTTGTTGTGAGTCGAGGATCTATCGGAAATAGTTTCTCTATTTTATCGGGGTAGGGATAAGGTCTGTATACACACTACCCTCTCCATACCCCTATCACCTGTGGGATTCTACTGGCCTGTTATTGAATAACTTGTTGTGACCTATTTCGTATAAAACTTATAAGGAGATAGAAAACAAAAAGACAAGTGAAATTCCATCACTACTCATTTAAAAGAGTAATTTTGTTACTTTATGTATATTTGGCTTACATGTCAAATATCTTATTTAATTTTTTAAATTATGTGTCAAACACCTTCATATAAATGAGACGGTGTGACATCTCTGCAATGAGTGCGGGTACACTTGTCTCTCTACTCAAACTATCTATATTTAGAAAAGAAAAGTTCTTAAATATTTTAAAGGGAAAATACATAAGTATCCCGACCTATACCCGGAATCTTAACTACACACTTTTTCTTTGCGGGAATCCTCTTATCCCCCTAAACTTATTTTAAATGGAATTATTTGCACCCTTAACGCTGATGTGGCAGAGTCTGTCAAGATAAAACGATTTTCAGATTATTTTTTTATTCTTTTTTACCATTTTTTCTTACTTTTTTTTTTCCTTTTCCTTTTCCTTTCTCTTGTCTTTTTTCTTTTACTTTTTTTCGTTTCTTCTCTAATTCCGGCGGTTGTTCATCCACCGGCGACTTTGTCTAACCGTTTTTCTTCCATTTTTTCTTTTCACACACAAATTAAACTCTCAAAAAAATCTATTCATAAGCAAAGCAAAATACACTCAGATTTGGGGGAAAAAATTCATCATCGGAAAACCTTCCCACGCCGGAGAAAAATGATGTATTGAAATTTTAACTAGAAAAAGTTTTCTCAGCTTATATTCATTTTTATTTTTGCTCTTCCTCCCACACATAAATTATACTTTCAAGAAAAATTTATATATATATATATANATATCTATCGCCGGAAAAAAAAAATCGCCGAAAAAAATGGTGTTTGTGAAATTCCGACGACCACCATTTTATGCCGCCGGTGACCAAAACAAAAAGAAAGAGAACGAAATAACCAAAAACAATGAGAATAATAAGAAATAAGAAAAAAGGATAAGAAAAAAAAGAAAGAATAAAAAAATACTAAAAATACATGTGGGGCGCGTGTAGCTCACCACTTGCCAAGAGTTTGGTTGCCAGCGTTAAGAGTGCAAACAATTACATTTAAAATAAGTTTAGGGGGGTAATAAGATTCCCGCAAAGAAAAAATGTATAGTTGGAAATCCGGGTATAGGTCAGGGGTACTTATGCATTTTCCCTATTTTAAATTCATACTTGTTATATGTCAAAAAAGAGTACTGAGTATAGAAATACTCTACGGACTTTGATTTTAAATAAGCCTCTTAATGGAGTAGATCATTTAAGTGAAAACACATGAATGCTGAAAGGACGGGGAATAAAACATTAAACATAATGAGGAATTTAATTTTAATGTTAATTAAATAACACTACTAGCATATTGTGATAGGGAAAGACAGAACTCACGTAGCCACCATTGAAGCGATAGCTTCTGGATCATCTTCAGCATGTTCATGCTTGAGTTCATCATTTTCACTTAACCTGCAAAACTTAAATAATTCAAAATTAAAAACTGAAAAAAGAAAAATCTAACAAAATTAGTTCCAGATCCATTCTAACGATCAGGATTACGAAGAAAAAAAAAACTACGTCGAAATCTTCTCTGATGCAATTGCTAATTTACTGTACATTACAGCGATATACGAAAAAAGTGAAAACGAAGCTAACCTATTCGCCATAGTCGAGTTACTTAAGCTCTGAAATTGCTCTGCTTCTTCAATACTAAAATTGAAAAAGTGAAAATCAAATGAGTAATCGAAAAACAGAAACAGAGTTGATAAACGTAAGCACGGAAATTCAGAAAATGTCGAATTAAAAAAGAGGAATTTTATTAATTAAGAGAACTAATTTGCTTTTCACATTGTCTAAAATGAGCATAATCACCTTTTACTGGCTGTGGCATTGATGAAAAGCATCATCATAATTAGCAAAGGACAAAGAAAATACAGAGCATTTGCCATTGAGAAGAATCTCTAGAATTTTCCGAGTTTTCACTCTGTTTTGGCAAAGGAAAATGTGATGTAATTTGGTTGATTCTGTTTAGAAATGAATGCATGAACAAATGAGGGCAAAATGAGTGAAAGAACAAGCCTCAATGGAGGAAACATTATATAGGCCTCAAGAGAGAGACAGAGGTGACCATCCAATAGTTGTCCAGTTTTTTATATTGTTCATTACACAATAATCTCTGGTAAATCATTATTGGAGTACTTAAATTAATAAAATTAAGCTTATCAACTAATTATATATATTTTGTATATTTAAACCCGATTAGTGAATTTAAGTTTATTATGTTGACGACAACAACAACAAAGTGCACGCAGACTTTACCTCTTGCTTACAAAGGTAGAAAGACTGTTTCCGATAACCCAAGGTTCAAGAAAAAAAAACGACTGTACTTAAAAAGAAGCAAAAACAACAAGTAGTAACCATAGCAAGCAAAATATATGGCGACCATATAAAAAATATTTGCACATTTTGTTTAATTTAGTAGAAAATTTGTATTCGTTCAATAAAAATTAATTCATGTTTGCATTAATAGTGTTAAGTTAATAAAATATTATAGTTAATTAACAGTCATTCCGATCATATATATCATATGATCAGGAGGTCAGATGTTCGAGTCATGGAAACGGCCTCTTGTAAAAATACAGAACAAGAATTTGTGATCCGATCTTTCCTCGAAAGCCGAGCATAATGAGAGCGGGCTGCCACTTCCCACAAACTGACTGAAGTCCCTCCTTTTCAACTTTCTACATTATATCCAGTTTGACTGTAGTCTTCTCTCACGTGTCAATGCGTCGGTCACTCACGTGCCGGTCACTGCAAATGTTACATTGTTCCATTTCTCTTCCTCGCGAGCTGTCTGACAAATTAAATTTGACCATATTTACTTAAATTCATTCACCGCATCAGCTGTGGGACCATCACGTACCTCCACCTCAGCAGAGGTCGATGTAGCCTTTCTCTATTAGATTTATCTGAATTTAATATTTTTAGCGTGGTGTATATATTTACGTGTAAATTTTACTAAATTTGCAATAAATAATAAATATGAAATCATAATTTTAATAATATAATGAGTTCCATGCTTAAAATTTTAGATGTTGCATCCATTGAATCTTTTTTTGCACCTCAGCCATTTATTTACCAAAGTACTTTTTTTGTTTAAGATGTCTGGTGTCCGGTATTCGCTTTAGCGCTTGATAAATTAGATTTAAGTCGGAAAGTTTCACTTTAGGGGTGAAGATATCTTTGTCGAAGTCAACTTCATTCTTAAGTTTCGAACTCAAAACCATTAATTAAGAATTGAGAAATACTTGCGATTCTATTACGACATTTTGTGGTATTTACCGGAGCTCCTCGATCAATTATACGGCGGATGATTGTGTATTTTTCTTAATCATGTTCGCTCAAAAAATGTTACACATCTTACGAGTACAAAACAATATAAATAAATCCCGGGATAATCGTAGCAAATCGTAATAATCCGTTGGACCAATTGAAAGACATGAAAATAAGAACTCACGATTAGGGGGAGAAGCATTAGAAACCTTTATTGATAATATTCGTTTGTTCTGCCTCTCCATGGAGAGGTTCAGAGCCTTACAATGGTGTTTTCTCTTCCCATAAGAGGGGTATCTTTTCTCGTTTCTCTCTCCTCTCACTAGTGGTAGAGAAGCAGCCCCCCTTTCTGGGGTTTCCTCTCTTGGTATTTATAGCTGTGAGCTTCGTGAGCTGGCGATAAGTGGCCATAACCACGTTGAGATCTCGCCTTTTGTATTGGCGCGTAGGCCAGGGCCTTGTCGACCGAGCTAGAGGCGGGTTGAACGTTGTCAATCCTGAGTGTTCGTGCCGTTAATTAATCATGAATTAACTTAAAACGGGATTAACCTCGTTAATTATCGTGGGATCAGATTTTGACCCATACAAATCAATGAAATATTAATATAAAAATAATAACATATCTAGTGTAATTTCACAAGTGGAATTTGAGAAAAGTAATGTGTATATATATATTATACCCCTACCTTGTGAAAATAGAGAGATTCTTTCCGATATATCCTGACTCAAGGAATGGCATTGATGGTGTTTAAAATTTTGTAATATAGATAAATGTCGAAATTCACCCCTTGCTTCTTCTAGGAATATCAAAATTGCCATTTTATTTTAGTTTTCACTTAGAAAGTTAAAGAATTTGATACACGTAAGTTCAATTTTAGATGAGAAATGATAACAAACACAGCATGAAAGACAATTGTAACATGTTTGTAATTTAGGAAGAAGATAAAAGCTTTTACTTCTTTCTTATTTGGAACACTTCAGATGAACATTTAAAAAAGTACTGCCAAATTTGTACAATCCACTCAATATTAAAATCTAAAAATAATTTTTAAGTAGATTTTGTGATTATAAGATAATCGATATGCAGAGAAATGCCAGATCTGTTTTAACTCTAGTTAATAAATTCGAATTTATTGGGAGTGAATGGAGAAATATTATAATTTATAGATATTTTCAGATTTGCTAATAAAAGACTTAGTTAGGAGAATACGATGAACAATATATTCATTCATTCAAAGCTTCATCAATTCGCCAAAAGTCGTTGTCTGAACATATTCAACACCGTTATACAACATCTTTTTTATATGTGTGTAAATAATATTTTAAATCTGTATCGCAAGCTAGCAGCAACGAAAGAATGAGCTATAGCAGCTCGAAAGGCTTTAAGCATATTGCATCTTGCATCTTGCAAGAGCCTACCTCTACCCGATAAGCGAGACAGGTGGCTAGGTGGAGAATACCTAGTGTGCGAGATAACTCTCTCCTTTGAACTCGACTATTATTTATCCTGGCCGAAAGGGCTCTCCCAAAGCAATTGTAGCAGCTCCTGCGCCGATAAATTTTGAACCTTATAATCTTACCTAATAATAAAGAAAGTTAGCTCTTTATTATTTTATCTCGCCCTTCTTTCTTTTCTTATACAAACCCCATTTGAAAATAATACTAGAAAGTAAATATTAATTAAAATCACGAAGTAAAGCCTTAAAATCATCACAATTTTTAGATTCGAACACACACTTACAAATAGAGGTGGATCAAGAATTTAACTTGTGGAATTCAACATTTAAGGTTCTTATTACGTCATTATATACATTTAAAATTATAAGTTCATACATCTAATATTTACTAATCTTTTTGCAGGCTTTTGCATAAAATTTATAAACCACATCGAAAAGACTTAATTCAAACAAAAAGCACTAGATCCTCCCTTGCAAACTACTCCATCCGTTCACTTTTACTTGGCACGTTTTGACTTTTGATATCCCTTAAGAAATAATAAATAGAGTGCATAATTTATCATGATATCCATATTAATTAATGCATATTTTATTGGATTTGAGAAAATAATTTGAAATGAGTAATACATATTGTGGGTATAACAGGGAAAAAAATTATCTTCTCTTGATATGCGTAAAGTGACAAGTAACAATGAAAATCTATTTTTAATATACATGCCAAGTAAAAGTGGACGGAGGGAGTAATTTGTAACAATATTAAACTGACACCCTTATCCAAAATTTCTATAAAACTTTTGGAGTTTTGGGAAATTATCTCGTTCTCTTTTTATGAGCTAAATTTAATTTTACCATGATGTGTAGTTAGTACGATACTAAAGGAGGGGGATCCCTCCACCCCTCCCAAAAAATAAAAATAAAAATAAAGAGAGAATAATTTCCTGGGAATTATGTTGTTTTACTTTTGTGTTTTTTAGGAAAATGATATACTAGTAGCCAATTTGCTGTTCAGACGCTTGATTGAATTATTGAAGCTATAAAATTTCTTATCTACATGGTGTGAGGGTGAAGTTGCTTCCAAGTAATTGACTCTAAGAGTTGTTTGGAAAGTCACCCACAAATTGGATTTGAGAGTAATTACACAGTTTGACGTGTTTGTCTAGCCAAGTAATTACTTGGTCAGTATGAAATTGGGTGTAATTGGAGAGAGTAATTACATTTTTCAATTTTCAAAAAAAGTGAGAATTTGTGGTATTTACACTGTGTAATTACAAGGTTACTTTTCAATTTCTTTCCTTTTTGTTTTTATTTTAATTTATTTTCCTTATAATTTCCATTATTTTAATTTCTTTTTTATTTTATTTAGTTTTTACATTTAAATGTCCTTTTAAATTTTAAAATATATTTTTTTTGTACATTATTTATCTTTTTATTTCTCTGCCTTTACTTCTTGTGATTTCATGTAATTGTTTGTATATTTTATTTTTAATTTATTTTATATTCTTCATTTAGCGTAACTGCGTTATTATTCTAGTTTTTGAAACCACACCTAATATTAAAAATAATGAGTCGTTAACAAACTTGACACATAATGAGTGATGTCATTAAAGTAGAATTTTGTTGTTGAATTATAAGCATATTATGTTTGCTAGCTAATCTTAAGCTGTATTAGAACTTATTTTATTATGTTGGGATTTGACAAAAGTTAAAGTTTTTATTATTATTATTTTGAAATTATGTTATATTTATGGTCCTAATTTACTTGTTTTAGTAGTATTTGCTTCTTATTTCATATTACATGTTATTCATTTTTTAGTTAGAATTGATAGATTAGTTTGGTTAAACATTTAAATAATGTCATGACATTATATTTATACATTTTATTTATTTTATTAAACAAGCATTCCATGATGTTCTTAAAAACGTATGTTTTTAGTTTTATAATTAATTAAACTAAATATCATTAATTTGGAAAATATATATATCAATTGTTTTTACAATATTAGCTATAAATATATAATTACTAATTAATGTATATTCAAGAAAATATGCATCTTAAATACCACATCTAATATCATTTGTACTTATAAAAATTTATTTATAAGTACGTATTTATTATATTAACTTTTAAGTTTCGATAATTATATCATTTAAAATTTAATCTGATTGTGTAATAATATTGTGCAACCAAAAAGTACGTAATTACATTATAATTATGTTATGACAAATAAACATGTCTTCTTAATTACTATATTGTACAATTACTAGGCTGTGTAATTATTACCTTAGTAATTACACCAATTTCAATTGGCGAGTAGCTTTCCAAACATACCCT